GATGAAGACATTGCAACTGACCAGAATGAACAAGTGGTATAAAAACTCAAAAAACAAATTCGAACTACTTTCCCCTTATTTTATGAAAGAAAATAAAAAAACTATATATTTTTTTTTCCTTTTAAAACAATATTGATGACCACAATTGACACCACTGTTAATGTCCAGCTAGGGAAGCATCATCAACAACTTGAATCCCAACCCGACAGCCAAGAAAAAATGTATCAAAACATTTTTGCGGAGATGGTGGGGTCAATACCAGAGTACTACAAGGATGAAATGAAGCCTACCCATGAACGCATCCATGAGCTCAAAGAAGCAGTTGATTATTGGATAGACAAAGCAGATGATCTCAAGTATAAGATGCAGGTTGCAATTCAATCGTGCATGGAAAAAAATGCATTTATTGAAAAAATCTGTAGTGAAAAGGAAGCTGCACAGAAAAGAACAAAGAAAGTAAAGAAGAAGCTTGAACAACAAGAAGAACAAAACAAAAAGCTACAAGCACAACTAGAGGAAGAGAAATTGAAGAGGAGGCACCTGCAGAATAACTATGAACTGCTTGAAAGAGAGAAAATGTTATGCATTGAGACCATGAAACAAAATGACTTTGATATTGCATCTTTGGCACTATGGGGTTTACAACATTCTTGATGCCATCTGCAAGCAAAGACTGGGAAGCATACTGGAGATTTTCACTTGATGGGTAAGAAATGTTTATTATGTTCAAACTGAAACAACAAGGCACACTAATAAACTGAAACAACATGGCACACTAATTCGCACATTGGTACATATAAAAGATTACTGTTCTTACATTGATCATACTATGACAAAACTGTTATTACACTGACCATGTAATGTGACAACACTGCTACTGCAGGAGTGCATTTTGGAATGGAAAAAGAGAGTCATTGTACAAGGGTTGATATAGGATACATCAATATCTAATAGATGCCTATAAAGAGTTACTTCAAGTTGCGGGGAAGACCAACCCTGTAACACATCAAAATGCATGTGGTGATTTTAATGGAACCCAACAATCCTATCTTTTGGAGTTCAAAGTTTTAGATCAAGAATAGCAATTTTGTCCCATTCCATCCATATATGATGTTTGTCTAGTTTTGGAATGATTTGGAATGAAACATAACCAAGGAATTTACCTAAGTTGACCGGAGTCAATTCCACTTAAGAGCCGGAATGGAAATACAGAGGGTGGTATTTCTATGCCATGGAACTACTTGGAATGTAAAATCACTGCAAATGCCCTTTCATTAATTGGCTGTATTAAAATTAGAAAGGAAAATAACTCCAAGAGAGTGAGGAAATGAAGTGCATTCCTATTCCAACTATATTATTCCGGTAAAACAAACGGGGCCTAAGTTTCAAGTGGTTGATAGTGAATAGAACTAATGTGACAGGCTTACTAAACCAATGTCATTAAAAGAATATGTTGAAGTTTGATAATGTGCTTGCTTATATATATATGCCTGAATTTGTATTGGAATCAAAAGTATTACAATGTCTAATAAACGGAAGTAAATTACTTGGATCACCACCTTTATTTTTTTTATTTTTTTTCAAACAGAACCTCCAGTTTTTGTCACTTTGGTCACAAAAAGCGGGGGTTGAGTTAGGATTAGATTAGAATAAAGGTTCGAAAATGAGTTAAGACTAAGTTAGACCCAAGTTCAACTGTTATAAATTGTAAAGAGAAAAAAAAAAAACTTGAAGAGTTTTGAAAATTTTAGTCTTGGAGATCTAGCAATATATATTCAATTCTGTCAAAACATTTGATACATATTTATCAGTTGACAGTATTAAAGTCAAAATTCAAGTGATCTCTTACTCTATTTTCTGTATTGTTTGTGTGTGTATATATTATATATCTAAAGTCGAAGTCTTTACTAAATACAGGAAGTGCATGTCCTTAGTTGCTTAATCATATGCTAGCATAAACTATACTTCCACCATTTTTATTAAAATTTGACATTGAATTTTTTAAACTTAATTTAGCATACTATTTTTTAGACTCAAGACAATTTACTGGGATCCAATATTGTGCACTCAATCCTAGGCTCACATTCCAAATTTTCCACATAATTTTTTTATAATATGTAGTATTTGAATCCATGTTGGACCCTTCTTCTGGGCTATTTTTTGTCAGTTAGGAAGAGAAGAAGGGGAATTTTTTCATACGTATTATTAAAGCGTAATTTGAATTCGAATTTAGAACCACTAACCTACAAATGAAAACCATTTCTTCACTGAACTGGACTCTCGTTGACGCCATTAATATATTTTTTAATTTAATTATAACAACTATGTAAATCACAAGCAAACATCACTGGAAGCTCAATAAATTAACTAAAATGTTAGAATATTTAGCCCAAGCTTGCATTTTACAAGTTGTAGTCTACCCCTGGCCAAGCCTGACCCACGTGTCCATTTTATTATTAAGTCAACTGCAGCTACCAAATAATTAAATAAACTGGTTAGTCCATAATTAATAATTGTTAAGTAAATTACTTATAAATATATAGAATGTCAAGATGATAAATTATTGCAAGATATAATTTTTTAATAGGAGAATCGATCAAAACTCCAAAATTACAACTGGCTTTGTCCAAGCTTCCTTGAATTAATGCCACTTGTATTTTTGTACAATCCATCATGGGTTTATGCAAAAAATTTGTTTAGTTTAATGTTTTATTCTACGCATGTACATATTACGTACGTGCATGTGTACTTCGAATAAAATGCAACCACGTGTCTACAGTGGCATGCATGGGTCCGCACGCCAATTAAAGATCATAGGTCAAAACATGTTTATATATATAAATTAGTTTGATTTAATTATATAAATATTTAAGAATAAATTATTAGAGTTGACAGTTGATGCTTTTACTCTGTTTACCATTCTGATTAATGAATTTTAATACTTAGTTTAATTGAATTGTGACAAAGAACACTTTGAAAACAGCTAGCCGCACCTTATCTGTAAAGCAGAGAACGACTTCTACAGAAAGCGATTATGTGAATTTATATTATTATAATATGAATATTTGTACAAAAGTTTCCTAGACTGAAATCGGCTTGGCGGAGTCTCCAGCTGTTCGAACATCGATTTCCTTTTACTTTCTAGATTATGTACATGTACTCTTTTCTCTAGGGCGCTTTTTTTGGTCTGGAAAATTACTCTAGGTCTAGGGTGTAGAATAGGATTTAGGGCAACAACTCAAAACCTAAAGCTAAAATCTTAAAATCGAAGTCGTAAACATTTCAAAAGATTGTATAAATGAGTTAGGTCAGTTGGGTAGAGCAATGCGTTTACCCCATATTTAAATGCCTTTCACTTAATTTAACATAATTTAGATTATCACTTTATAAATAAATAAATAAATAAATAAAATGACAAAGAATTGTTTATGAGATTTCGTGCAAAGGGGACTATGCACAATTATCTTCCAATGATCACAATTTCCTTCAAGTATTATCCATGTGAAAAATCAGCCAAATCGCACATTCATTAACAATTTTATTTTTATCTTCTAGATTGTATTCATTTTCACCCTTTAGATCACCTAATAATTTTATATATGGTTTTTATAAATATTTTTTCAAGTGATGATCTTTGAGAAAAGTCATGAAATATAGATGACCCTAAAATTTGAAATGTTGGGTAAAGATTCACCAACTCATACATAAACTCAAGAAAAACTTACATATGAGCTCACATTCATAAAACCCCTAAATTATGTACCCAAACTCATATCCCACATAAGTAGATTTTCGATCGTGAGTTAAAGTATAGGAGTTCGTAGGATCTTCAAATAATCGGGCACAAATTAAAAATGGACCCTAAAATTTGAGTGATTTTGTGTAATTAGCCATATAATTTATAGTTTGTATTTGAAAACATCATGAGAAGGTTGTTATTATTTAGGAGTGGTTTCCACCCCTAAAGGTGCAAAATACCAAATGAAACATGCATGGGGGAGGAACAAGTGGTACTGTTTTTGTCTCTCATCCTATCTCATCCCATACCCTTCTGTCTCATTCAAGAATAAACAAATATGCAACAAACAGGAGAGATACATCATAATCATTAATTAAGTTTGAATCCAGGAATGCATAATAATAATACAGCAAAATTGACTTGTTTTGAGCAAGGGGGGGTTATGATACTATATAGTGGATGACCGATGACCCCATCCCACCCCTCAAAAAGTTGAACTTATCTGAATCCAAAACAAAAACAAGTTATTTAAAGTCCATGCAAATTGCAGCAAACTGGGGCTGCCCTTCTAGGTGGTTTTCTCACAAACTAGGAGTCGTCTGGTTTTGATTTGGGCCCACAGACTTACGACTTTTGACATACAAACATACATACATACATATACGTACAGACGTTCATCTTTGAGACACGTCATGCGTTGACATGCATTAATGATAGATCATGGGTTTGGTTCTTAAATCTGCAACATCTTCCTTGTCTTGATATATATAGAAATATTGTACATGTTCTCTAGGATACATGAAAGTTTCACATTCAAGTTACATATATAGAAAGCACAAGATAAAAAATCAGTCAAAAAATCAATATGATTTTTTAACTTGTGGTCTCCCTGCTCTTTCCTAGGTTCAATTAACAAGCAAGGTTCAATGATCAGAGTGTTCAAGATCAACTTGAAGCAGGGGTAATGACCCCACTCCAGGTTGGGAACACAATGAGTGCGTGATTGTTAAAAGCTGCTTTCTTTTAAGTTGTAAACTTGTTGAGCTAAGTCTGTGTCAAATCTTGTATGACAACAGTAAAAAAATTTGAGACGTTGGTTTTGAGTGGGGTGACGCTCGGATCTTTAAAATTAATTATCAACAAGAAAAAATCTTAAGATATAATATAATTGTATACAATCAATGATAAGAAAGTTTTTCTCAATCAACGGCCATACACATCCAATAATAAGAGGGAGAATGATAGCACAAAATGATTAATTCTAGTCAAATTGCTTACGAACACTTATAACTAGTTTGGCATCTGGTCAATATGCACATTCTAGTAAATGATAATAGCGGTGGGAATTGATACGATATAACTTTTTCGGAAGCTGAAGATCGCAATCTGATCTGGTTATAGTCTTTTTGTTGATTTTTTTTTAGGTGACACGAAAGTAAAAGGATATGATGATAGTTGATGGGTTGTGCAATTTTGGTTGAGGGGTTGTGGGGTTCACTTGCGCATATGTATGGTTGCTAGGGCTGCTAGTTAGCAAGAGATTGATTAGGGAGTGATTTAGTTTGACAGAAAAAGGAAGGAACATTTTGAAAAAAGCAAAAGGAGAGAGAAAAATTTTAAAAGAAGCAAAAATAGACAAAAATGCCCTTATTTATTTTTAGATTTCTTAAGGAATCCAATACATTTGCATGTCTTTGATTTGAAAGTTGAGTGGTTTTTTTGTCTTTTTTGAAAAAGCTTTGGCTTTTTCCAAAAGTGAAATTTTTTTTATGTCTAAAACCTAAAAAACCTAAAAAGGAAAGCTGATGTCAATCTCTTCAAAAAGATTTGAGACCTTTTTGGTATGTGGTGGATCGCAAACTCTTCTTTCAAGGGAGAGAGAGAGAGAGAGAGAGAGAGGAGAATCTTGTCATTA